GCCATTGAAAATGACCATAACATGAGGAAATGCTCGTGCTATTATTGGAAAAAAATAGGATGTGAATAACGTTTTGATTACATGGGAAAAAAGCCATCAAGAAAAACAACATGTACAGGGAAATACACCAAACACTTCACTGTAATGGCGTTAAGTAGAATAATTGTGGGAGGAGTTAAAAAAATTCTGTCTTTTGTAGCATTCCTATGTTGCTTTTATATTAATCATTCGGGGGGCTTTACTGGCCCCAAATCATGTTTATGGCCATTAAATCTATATGTTTATATACAGAGTTTAGTTTTAAATTGCGCACGAACTTTATGTCCACCCTGTATAATCCTGATAGATACTTAAAGTAGACTTCTGGAAGCCTGATTTAAGTTGGTGAACCTGCTTTTATCTGTTCACTTATAAGGTGCAAAGAGCTCTTTTTCCCTATATAGATGCTGCCTCATTTCTTTTTATTTCCATCTCTGCCGCTCCCAAGACCGGGTGATGTCCTTCCCTTTCTGTTGTGAGAATAGCCCTCGCTGTAAGCTGTGTCTCCAAATTCCACACTGGGATTTATGACAGACTGAGCTGAAGGAAAACGCAAAGACCTGCCAAGTATCTGCCACAACTTTCCTGCTGTCGCAGTAATGCTAATGAAGAAAATGGGTGTTTGTACCGCATGCACATATCAATTGTTTGATGAAGGTTATTGGTCAGGCAGAGACGTCAGTCTGAGCTCTGGCGCTCTGGCGTTATCAGGAGATCTTGTGTAACCCTCTGACTCCACTGAGTGACAGCTTAGCTTTCTTTATTTCAGGAATTCTCCTTCCTTTAGTCGGCTTTCTGCTTTCACAGTGAAAGTGAGCGTTTGGTGCAACAACCACCACACGCCTTAACTTGTTCCTTGCTGCGTCTATTGTGTAATTACAGGAACCCTCCTTTAGGTGTTTAATCTTTTGTTCTGCAGCCAGAGTACTGGGGCTTAAGCAACGATTTGGATGGATGTCGACCTTGTGACTGTGACCTTGGGGGAGCACTGAACAATAGGTGAGTGGAGCTTCACTTAGATTCTTGGTCTCCGTCACCAAGGAAGGTCATGACTTCTGACAAAAGGATGACATTCTTTCATCTCTTACGATAGGTAATGTGCAAACACTGACAGTTTGTAGATATCTCTGTAGACTAGGTTCCTGGTGATGGACCTGCCAAGTCAAAATACATGAATAATTTAAGTTTAATAGAGAATATCAGATTGTTCCAGACAAATTGAGCCAGTTTATTTTCCTACCAGTGACCTGAGTACCTTTCCCCCAGCCCCGCAGCACTGACTTTTCACCAGTCAAAAAAGATGCAAAAGGGCTCACGTTTTGATTTGTGTAGCAAATCTTTCTTCTTTTTTATTTATTTATTTTTTTGGCAACTTTCAAGTCCATTAATGACAATGCCGGATAACGACGTTTAGTTACTTAAATGTGCTTGAACAGAAGAAACTTGAAGCTCTACCAGAAATGATCACACACATTTGTGGGAGTTAAATTAACTATCTTTGCGTCAAAGGGAATTTTGGTCTGTTCCTGGATCAGACTCAGAACATCTGGTAAAGATAGTGTAAGTGACTGCTGAGAGAACAGACAGCTGTTTCCCTGTGGCCCTGAATCTTCCCAGAGAGAACACGCTGAATTCATTGAGCAACCTTCATGTACTCAAAAACTGTCTCTCTTACAAGATTATTTCCCAACACCATACTCGTCTGCTGGGAAGGAATGAGAGTTTGAGCAGCAAGGGCATGCTCTGTCCTCTTTGTTTGGGTTTGTTCTATTCCAGTTTGTGCAGTGGATTCATTCCAGCATGCAGCCTCTGAAACTCCAGCGTGAGTTTCTGTTCTTAGAAAACCTCCAGAGAGAGGGAAGCTAGAACAGTTCCATAAAGGCAGGGAAGAAAGACAAACTGTGGTCTGCTTAAGGCGCTTTCCTGATTTTCCTTTGTGACTCCCAGCACACATGCTGAATCCTTTAGTAACTGATTCCTCAGTTCAAAGCTGTCATCACTCCTAAGGTCCTTGATGAGATGAAAGTTGGCATATGTAATTCTACAAATTACGTCCCAAACTCAGGAATGTCCTACGTTCATTTACCCTACGTGATTTCTGTTCTCCTCTCCCTTCCTCTTCTCCACACACTTCCTGCCTTGTCTCCACCCTCACACAGACCCTGGCCTGTGTTCAAATCTCTCCTCCAAAAATTTGTAACGACCAGAGTGTGTTCATTGGAAGAGTGTGTGAAGCCACATTTTCTAGTAAAGATTTTGAAGTAGGTAATCATCTGGTGTTTCTAGCGTGATTGATGAGATGCCCTGTCTTTGGGAATCGCTGGAGGGGGTGAAAAAGAAACTACAAAAGATGCCTCCTGTGACTCTACAGTATTTCCTGGTGATCCCTTTTTTTTTTTTTTTTTTAGACAAAGTCTGTTACCCTGAAGAATGCCCTGGCATCAAACTCTTGGGCTCAAGCAATTCTCTTGCATCAGCCTCCTGAGTAGCTGTGACAACAGGTGCCTACCACTGTG